AGTTATTGTTTGTTTTCCACAATCCTTTCCTCATTACTTTCAACAAATAAAAAAAATTATAATGTAATGTGGACCAAGGTGTGTATGGTGTGCTAAAATTCTGAAAGAAGATTCATCTTTTAATTCTCAATGTGTATGGCATACCAATTACTGGCCATGGCTGTACTTTAATTATAAGTATCCACACAGAACACAGGCTTAATTTTGACCGTGACATGTGAACTAAGGCAATGAAATTGAAGTGAAAGTAGAAAATTAAATAAGTAAGAATACACATGCTGAAAATTTAAACAAATTCTGCCCAGCAACATGACATACCAGCGGCGGGAAGGCGGCACTGTCTTTTCGAGCCACTTTAGACAAAGGAGACAAAGATGGACGTTACATCGCCTGGTATGTTGTCAGACCTTACAGTAAGTGTCATTTACCAGTTTATCTTAATGTATTGAAAATATTCAGCTTCTGGAAGAATGTGAAACTTTGATTTTTTTTAAATAAAATATAGGAGTTATTTAGGAGGTTTGAGTTAAAGCGCTGTTAATTACTGCTTAACTGTACCTATAGCTAAGCTAACCTTAACGTAACAGTCTTGCTAATATATCATACTCTTAATTTTAGTATTAGTTCTTGGCTTTAGTGCCATACTTCGTTAGAGTTCATGTGTTTTTGGCAGCATTTTTATGCATTTGTTTTAATTTCAGTATTTATTCAAAATGTTTTGTAAAGCCTCCAGCTCAAATTTCAGTTAAGGCCACTTAAAATTAATCAATTGTTTTACATGGCCGCCCGCCTCAATTTTTTGGTGCCGCCTCAATTTTTTTTATATTTTTTATTTTTAAAAAAATCCGCTTTTTTCACCTCAAAAACTGTGGGTGAAAAATCTTGAATGTCAGCCTCGGATTTTTCAATTTGACGCTTCTCGGACAATGGTTTTTATCGTTTGTCAGATTGTGTGTGGGCCCACGGTATTAAAATCTTNACTATATAAATAATAAATAGCTAAAAAAAAATATTTAGTCTAATAGTAAAATAACGCCGTGTTTATAAAAATGGTTTAAGTTTGTGTAGGCCTACGTGCAATTATTTTATTAATCATAATAATGACATTTTCCCAAAAAAATTTCGGGAAATTAAAAATAAATGTTTTAAGTAGTGTAACAAATCAGAACTGTTTGGGATCTACTAAGAAGAGAGCAGTTTGGTTATTTTACTTTTCTAATAGAGACGCTGTGAAGAATCATTTTGTGATTTTGCCAGTACTGTAATTTTTAATTATTATTAGGACAAGAAATTACCTTGAATATCGGCCTAGAAAAACTTTTCTTCCTGAACAGAGAATTATTTGAACGTCCACTTGAACATCTTTTTAAAACAATAACGCTCGTCGAAACATGCAAAGCCGGTAAAGACGCCAAACTTTTTGCAATTGACTTTTGCGCTGCTAAGAAAATACGAATAACGCAACGTCGTTTCAACAGGCGTAGGTGGGATATAATCTTACAATCGCAGCCCGAAACACTCAATTATACTTCCTACAAAAAATGCAAGCTTCGCCATTGACTCCTCAGGAGCCAAACGTAGGCAATTTGCAAAATTACTCATTTGATCAAAGTTGACGTAACAAGCAGTTACTTTAAAATAGTTCTAGTGAAAGTGAATATATTAATGAAAGTAAAAACGTGTCCCCCAGCATTAATTGACTGGAGCTTTTTAATACTAATTAATTCCTGCCCCTGTCGCGCTTGCTTTAATCGATTTAAAATACCTTTGTACTCATGCCGATGCTCAGGTGCTCCGGCCAGAGACGGTCTGCTAAACGTACCTCCAGCACTATATCGGTGCCGCTATTCAAGCTTTAATGAAATATGCTTTAGAGGATGGCAACGTACAGAAACACTATTATAAACCAAAAAACACACACATTACCCCGCGGCGCTACTCTAATCACCGATTACTCTATTTAGAACGGCTAGGACTCTAAAAACTAAGTGGAGAGATTTAAGCTGTCTGTACCGATGATTTATAAAATAGAAACGCACCTTACCGCTTTACACTGGCGTGTATTGAATGGGTTAAATATTACATATCAACAATCATCGGTTATTGTCACGTGGAGATTGCTGTGCCTTAATTGAAGGGGAATAAAGCTGGAAATTCCTTTACTGAAGCTTAGACTAAGTACCCATATTTTTATGTAGCACGTGCAGGGGATCGCCGGGCGTCTATGCTGCGGTGATCTTTAGCGGTGGAGGGTTAACACGTGAGTATCAGAAGGAATGATATTCCCCCCTTATTTTAAACACAAGATAGACACTTTATGTCACCGCTTCTCCTTCTCCCTGTACTTTCAATGCTGTCCTCCTATTTCCCCATATTTGTCGATTTTCATACGCCGAAGATTACTTTAAATGACCGCATGCACAATTTCTGTTATTTTTTTTCGCGAGTCTATTTTCATCATAATATAGAGAGCGACTGCAGGAATGCGAAGTGGCCCGGTAATTCATTTTAATTCCGGCTATAATTTATATTTTTTTGCTTTTTGTAACGCTTTGATGTTCTGCGGATTTCAGGCTGCATTGCTTTCCGAGCGCTAAGGAGAGGAGATGGGTTTTGAAACGAACGCGACTTAAGCGAAGCGGTAATGAAACTAAAGCGAATAAATGGCGCTTATGTGCGTCCGCTTCGTGCACTCGACCGGCGCGTGCGGGGGACGCGTTCAGAACAATTCTCCGTAAACTTTATTTTAGAAATGTCTCATGGCACAATTTACAGCATGAATAATTTTAATGCAGTATAATATATTTCAGTATGGGTGTCTGTATGCATGTGTGTATCCTTGCTTGCCGTTCAATATTACATAAAATTCTTTTTACACCTGGAAAATACACTGATTACATGAAGGTTATTGCTTTTACGAATAAGATGTTTGTGGGTGCTCCAGTGTCGTCCAGAACAAATACGTTTATTTTAATTATTATTTTAATATTAAAAAGCAAGTGAACATGCAGTCTAATATACAAACTGCAAAAGACCTTAATTGGTTCATCAGTTGTGTCAGACAAAAAATATTCACACGCTGACACAATAATCACGAAAAGAGACACAAAATGTCTACAGTACAAATGTAGGCTAAAGTTGAAAATTAAAAACTTAATATGTGAGCGAGAGATCATGTTTATAGGGAAACTGGTAAAAAAAAGTAATTAGTTTGGTCTTCTGGGTTTTTTTGGATGAGTAGATGATTATTAGTTGGGCCACTTCGAGCGTTTCAGGGCGTTCTGCGCGACTGGGCGACTTCATATATATGAACTACGTGACGGATCTACCTGTAACTACGGAAAAAAATAGATATTATAGGTATTTATTGGCTGCGTTACCCACGTTATGTGTTTGCAGCTTTCAGAAGCAATGACGCAAAGGTGTGCGCAAACTGAATATTTGTCTCATGAGTATTTTTTAAGACACGTTCAAAATGTAATGATAGGTGTTCACGCTATATACTATTGTGCCGTATTTCTTGTACCAATTTAAATCTTTTCAAATTTAAATGAACGCGTTTAATCCCCACTAAATAGGCTTGAAATGTATCCACATAGCATTATAATACGTGCTATTATTTCAATATACTGATAAAGATCATTCTGTCAAGGATCGTTCGAGTATTTCACTTAATAATCACAAGTGAGGAAACAATATGAACAGTTTGCCTCGGGGTTGATAATTTACTGACCTGTTTAAACTGATTGCAAGTTCAAAATCTCGCTACGCTGCAGTGAAAATATTAATTTTACACTTTTACACAAAACGTAGAAAGACTTAATTTTAGTAATACATTTCAGTATTTTTTTTAGAAAATGACTTATTGATGTTGGCAAAAATTCTATTTATTTGAATGTAAAAATAAAGGGCAGATTTGCGTTGATATTAATGTGTGGTATGGGAATACTACATTAAATGAATAAGAATGTGATGAACCTAAAAACATGTTCTCATACTGTATCTATAATATATCTGTTATCGTGTTTGATATATTATTTTTATGCATTGTAAGATTTCAAGTAACCGGGTTCGTGGGTCTCAGAATCAATCCCATTGGTATACTTTTTACCCGCTTCTTTTTCATGTAATATAAAAAACACCGAAAATTTCACGTATTCGCGGGAGATTGTTCTCATTTAAAACATATGTCCCTTCCGGGCATATACATATTATACAGGCCGACTGGGGTCGTCTGCGTTGATTCCCTAAATCTGTTCGCAATTTATGGCAATATATAGCATTTATAAATAAAATTACTGTTGCGTTCATGAAAGTAAAAAGCAGAATTAAAAATATAAAATCGATTAATTTAACGCGTTACATATACATTTTCTTCACTCCAGTAGATTTTAAAATTTATATCTCATTGGTGTGTACGCTGTCAAAAGCCTGGTTTCATTGCAGAACGGTTGAAGTCTATGGTTCGTACGTTTTGAGCAAATGGATTCAAATGGAGTACCCCTCTTTTCCTCCCCAATCTTTGTTTGTGTGGTAATATACATATTTTTGTAAAGGTATTATGTTGCTGTCTCTGTGCTGATTGGGCGCGCAGGTTGGCGAGTTAACGCCCTGCGATTATGTCAGATTGCGTGCAAACCAAACCAGCCCAGCCTTTGAACTTCACCGCTTTTGGCTCCCATTCACCAGCTTTTCCTCATTTTTCAGCCAGGTGCTTCGCGAGGCGAGACACCTCCGAGAAACACGCGCAAACACTTTCACTTTAGCAGCCGGCGTCTGACTTGGGAACTTGCACCTCCTCCGTGGATCTTTTGCGCTCCGGCAGCTTAACCGCGGAACCTATGTTGCCAGGGCAAGATAACTGCTCGTCTCGCTGAATCCGATAGTGACTGATCGACCTCTGGATTTTTATGACTTTATTTTTTGCACATTTCCGAAAACCCACGAGAACTGGTATGAGCCGTTTCTATCTGCTGGAGAGGTGAATATATTTCTTGGTGGTTTAAGAACTTTTTTTCCGCTGTCGAAGAGGGAGAATTGAACGTGTGCTTTTAAAATGTCAAAACCTTTAGATCACATCAAGAGACCCATGAATGCTTTCATGGTGTGGTCCCGGGGTCAACGGAGAAAAATGGCACAGGAGAATCCCAAAATGCACAATTCAGAAATCAGCAAAAGACTTGGCGCCGAATGGAAACTGCTTTCTGAATCCGAAAAACGACCTTATATCGATGAGGCTAAGAGACTGAGGGCGCAGCATATGAAAGAACATCCAGACTACAAGTACAGACCCAGACGCAAGCCCAAGAACTTGCTCAAAAAAGACAGGTATGTCTTTCCGTTGCCCTACCTCGGGGACACAGACCATTTGAAAGGATTTTCCGCGGACTCTCTCTTGGCTTCGTCAGACAAAGCCAGAGCGTTCCTGCCGCCAACATCGGCCCCGTACTCGTTTCTCGACCCAAGCCAGTTCAGCTCCAGCGCTATCCAGAAGATGACAGAAATGCCCCACGCTTTGACCACCAGCACGTTGCCATACGCCTCCTCCCTGGGATACCAAAACGGCGCGTTCGGCAGCTTGAGCTGTCCCAGCCAACACACTCACACTCATCCGTCGCCCACAAACCCGGGGTACGTCGTGCCCTGTAACTGTAGCGCCTGGTCAACCTCAAGTTTACAGCCCCCAGTTGCCTACATACTTTTTCCAGGTATGACCAAGTCAGGAATAGACCCATACTCTTCAGCACATGCTACTGCTATGTAACGCACAAAAACTAATTTTTGAAACTTGAATACAGCAATGCATGTGAATATGAAAAAACGTGAGAAGGAGCCGGGCGCTCAGAAATTATGGAAAGCAACGGACTTGTTTTCAAAGAATCAAACAAGAACTCTTACGATTCCAAACAGGACGCTTCTTCTAAGACTTCAGCAAGGGACTTGGAATAGCCGCGAGGCAGGTGCCCTATGAACTGTAAGAATTGTAAATGTTAAAACGTTTATTGACGGCTACCGTAATACAAGGTGGCCTTTAAGTTTATTTATTATGTACATTTTTATTCTATAATTTTTTTTAATTTAATGGTTCATTTTTTACATATCCTTTTCCAAAACAAAATTTGGGTTGCACAAGTTTTGACTGTAAAAATAGAATGAATTTCTTGAAACCCGAACGTTTTAAAAGTTTAGAGTAAAAATCATAAACTCAAAAGTTCAATTATAATGGATATATTGTTTCTATTTATTAAATAGGCACGTACGTTTTGATTGCTTATACAAAATACCAAATTGTATTATTATTATTATTATTATTATTATTTGTGATAATGGTAATAATAATGTGTTTTTACATTTCCCCTCATGTGATCCAGTGCTATATGTTACTTTTCTTCTAAAAGCACTTCGAGTTTGAAGCCAGACAGTTATTCTTGTTTTTTCCTCTCTGAAATGGTATTTTCAATTTGTGGAAAGGGAAATGTGTCCGGCCTGATGTTTCTCTCTGTTCATTTGACGTTTTGAATAAAGACAATCTGTCTTCAAAATATATCAATATTATTACATTTCAGACCTGCGGTTCCATTTTCTAAAACGAATCCCCCACCTCAAAATGACTCTGAAGCATTAAATACTTTAGTGCCTTTAAACGACATCATTGTCCGGTCTCCAGGATATTTACAAAAGATATATACATTTGCTTACAAAGAGTGAACAGACGTATGCACTTGAGACATTGAAGTGTTAATGTTTTACTACTGTTTACTAGTGTCTTGATTAATTTGGTCAATCGATGATATCTTTTTTATAGTATACTATAGCCGATACTATGTTTGATTTACCAAAAGCATGTGCAAAACTGGAACCGCGTGCATTTAACCCTCCTCTACTTCAATTCAAATAAACTTTGTGGATTAAAACAGATTAATATTTATTCACCCTGTCCCTTGACTATCTGGTTATACAATAGATGGTCTAAGAGAGACTAATTTTAAAACGCGCCCGTGGAATCAAGTTTGGGGGAGAAAAGTGAAATAGATATCCTTAGCAATCAGTGGCGTTTGAAATCCATTAGCAAAAACAATTAGTCAGAATCCTCATTACTGAAAGAGACGCGTTTCCCTTTAAAGAACAGTCATTGTCCATCTGGACTGAATGAATGGCTGTTTGATTCGTCTTGTCTGCACATCGTTTTCTCGAGTGCTCTTGAGAGTTAAGTCAAAATAAAATGGTCAAATACAATTAGTGTACAATAGACCCGTTAAAAAATCAAACACGCGCGTGAATTATAATTCAGACTGAGGCAAACAATGGGACGGAAATCAGTTAGGGGACTGGGGGTGGTTCAAAATAGCTTAGCCACGCCGTTTAGCATCACAAAACACTCACATTAAAAAAAATGCAGGAGGTGACCTGAACAGCAATCAGCGCTGAACAGAAACACAGCTACAATATGCATGTAAAATATAATTACGTATCAGATTTAGCTTACGCTTTGGTGACAAACGCATCCGGCAGTGCATAATTGGGACGATACGAAGGAAGCGAGTGTAATTTAATTTAATTTAATATTTTCTACACTAGTATTTCGCTCTGCATTTGTCACATTTTTCGCTCTGCGTGGTCTTTAAAACAGGCTGCACCCTCTGCACTCGGCGAATTTCAGCAGTGTAACTGCTGATACCACTTTTTGCACAAGTGGTATCAAACTATTAGAGCTAGACTAGGCCTATAGCCTAAACATATTAGCTGAGTGGTAGCATACAGAGCCAAGAGATATAGTTATACACAAATTAGTGGTAAAGGTACAAAAATATTTTAAATAAACAAAACTCATTCCAATTTTAAAAACAATTCAAAACAAGCAAATATGTCTACTTTGTTCATTGCCATTATGTAAAACAAGAAGTTTAAAAATCGATCTAATATTTTAACGTATTTTTAACAACGCGATTAAATAAACAAGTATCTTCTATACCAGTTGGCACACATGCCTTCCTATGCTAAGGATGTTATCAGTCTGTTCAGCCAGGTTCCTAATACCTGTTAGGCCCACTGATGTGCATAAGTGTTCTTTTTCAATCATTATGCCAGTGAAATGATCGTTACCTTTTAGTTTAAACTTGCAGGTAGAATCGCCGCAGGGAGTCTAAATCAGTGGTCGGACCTGTTTCTCAACGTCTCCGCTTCATTGCAACTGAGAAAAAAATCATTAATATAGATCTTTGGTTTGTGAAAGCACCCGATGAGGTACAATACATTAAAAATAAAAAAAAACGAATGTTTCTGACGTCTTGGAAAAAGTTACAACTTTATTTAACAAATTTATTTAATCGCTTGGCCTACTGCTTTGAATAATATTTTTTTCTTCCGGTGTCATCGAGGGAAAATCATAAATTGCCCTTGATTTTTTTTTTTTGTATTCAAGCGACCCAGTGTCAGCACTTGACAGTCAGATAGCGCCGGTTTAATTAACCGTCAAAGCTTTGTTTTTTAATTTTTTTTATAGATTGATCACGTAAATTAAGTTTAAGGTGTACTAAAGTTATAATGCAAAAGCAAGCATTAAGTTTACCACTGCAAGCCGACGAAAACACTTTAAAAATATTTTTCATTCATATTTTGGTCGCTAAGGTTTTGAGAGGGAGTTTATTACAGAACTGTTTTTTTAAATGTATGATTTAAATAGATATATGTATGTATAAACACATACACACACACACAAACACGCAGATGTTATTTTAACGTGTCAGATGTTTTAGTAAATTATTAAAGTTCTCCACCCTGAAAAATACCATGAAATACTGAGTCGTGTTGTATGAGTTGTGGGACGATACCTGAGTCTATTCTTTAATTACTCTTCAAGGACGATTTGTTAATAATGAAAATTCCACCATATTTCATATATATGTTGCACGCAAACTCCATGTACATATATATAACCCAGCGTTACAGAAGCGGGCCTGATCAAGACGGATCACGTACTCGTTCGCCACCTTTCAATTGAAAAGCTTCGCACAAAATCACATCGCCAGTGTTTTATTTCGATTTTAATGTACAATGCTTGGACCTAGTCGGTTTTAAAACATATGATGAGATTCATTAAAGGAAAACAAGATCGCAAAACAATTGGTCCGAGTCTACAGACTGAGGATAGGAATTCGACTTTCGTCTATTGTCGCGGGGCACGGAATAGGATTTGCACACCAAGGTGTAATAGCATTACCGTATTAATTAAAATTTTCATTTCACATCCAGATTGTTTACTTATCTGCCAGGAACATATGCTGAGAGAAGTTAAGATTCGGGATTCTGCACTATTGCCCAAGGTGCAATCCAATATAGGAGGGGGGAGAGGGAGCCCGCCTTAGATTTTTATGACAGACTTTGTCCTTATCTCGCGCTGTAAATTATGGTGATACTCCATTGAACCGAATATGAAGTTTTACATCAGCCCCTTAAAGCATGCAGATTCAACTTTGAAATTGGACAATGATAATTACTTTTAGGAGTACGAAAATGTGTATTTTCAGCGATGATGTATTACACTCCGTCTTCCCAACCCCCTTTACTCCCTCCGAATTAATAACACTTCAGCCCTGATACATATTAATTTGAAGAATCATTAGACGGGTCTTGAGGTAAAGTAGGATGAGTTGCAATGAATAAATGCGAGCACTTCAAACTGAAGGATATTTTATGCACATTTACTGTCCGTTGTCCGCAAAATAATGAAGCGCAACGCATTTACAAATTACGAAATAAATGACGTTTTCATGAAGCTGCATGATGTACTATATGACTGTGTACTATATATATATATATATATATATATATATATATATATAGCCCTCAATGTGAGCATATTTCAGGCCATATATAAATTCACCATATAAATGTTCGTCATAGGATGATAATTTATGACCTCATCAATGTAATTCACCGTCTGTGATCACTTCTCCCATATTGAACTGGCATCTGTTTTTACAAGCCGAGGTCCAAAACAAAACAAACACTACCCGAGAAATAAGAAGAGGAAAATTATGATTTGAAATTATACTCGTCCTAAATCTCTCTCTAACTGCTCTCCCAGACGTTTTTATTTGAGCAGAACATAAAGCCAGCGGTTCCAAAGTCGAATTCAATCTCCCTTATCTCACTACGACTCCTTTCAGGCCGAGATCAGAGGAAAAGAGGGGATAATTGTTCTTTATTTTATTTAATTTAATGCGACAGCCTCTGCTTTCAGGTCATTTATATGCTTAATTTAGTGATAAAAGTCAATGGGGAGGGAACACAAGTCCCGCTTTTCTCTACTCTAACACTTTAGTCCAAATTATTAAGCATATAAAACAAAAGTGAGGGGACATAACACTTTTAATTGAATGCCATGGGTCATTTGCATCATTGTCAGTAAATGTCACCTCAAAACCAACAGTGTACAATTACATGTGATACGTCGCTTTGAAATATCTTGCGCTTCATCTTGCCATGCTAATTTTCAATGTTCCTCTGAAGGAAAATATAAATAAGAAATAATAATAATGACATCAATAACAACAACAACAACAACAATAATAATAATTATAATAATAATAATGATGATGATGATGATTTTTGTTACCACTATTGTATCTTTGCTTGTTATGTTCTCGGTATTAATATTGCAATAATGCAACAAGCTGATATTTTGAATTTGGGTAGTCTGCCCTTCAACAGATTAGTTTATTACATTGCTGATTATTATAAATGAGAATATGCGCTGGCCTATGTGTGCAGGAAATTTTATTTCGGTTCATATTTTTTCCACTATTGTTTTGATCGCTCTCACCCCGTATAAACACCCTAACGCATCAGTGCTAAAGCCCCATCTATCTGAAATTGAATCAGGGACACCATTTTGACACAGAAAGGTAAACCGCTGTCCGCCAGTTCGTAACGCCGACGTCGAATTTGGGGCCCTAGCATTCTCATCCAAAAGGAATTAAATGCTGAATGAGCTGATAAGGAAATACGGGAGGGATATGCTAAGAGAAAGGGAATTAGGCTACGGCTATTTACATGTGGTTCCAGTTGAGAAAGTGATTTGCATACACACACGCGTGCACAAGGATGCACACAGTAACACACCCTCGCGCGCGCGTTCAGCTGAAACATCCTTTCCGTGTTATGTACATATTATATACCCGATATTTGTCCTAAAGAGTATCATGAAAAAGCAATATTTCTACTTTCAAAAATCAGAACCCACTGATCTTTCAAGGATCAAGTAGCATATCAATTATTTTTGTCTTAGGGCGCGTGTTTCGTTAGCCAACTACACCGAAATTAAGTGGCACGTGAAGAAGTACATATGAAGCTAAAACGTATAAATAACTTCCCTAACTGTCCGTAATGTGAAAACTTGAGCTGTCAGCATAAGTTACGTGATTATTCTTATACCGGTGATGGGGTTGTAATAAGACGAGAAATAATTACATGTGTGAACTAGTCATCTAATTGTACTTTCGCAATAGTACTGGATAAAACAAAGTGCGATTAAAAGTAATG